CATTATCTATTGATATTACCCTTATTTGTAGTTATATGTGAGATTTGACTTCCTGGGCTCACATATGGTGTGTATTTGGTTTTGTTCTTAAAATTGGGTGCTACAGATGATTAGGGTTTCTATCTTCTCAAATGACTTGATGCCTCAAGGGGGTGGCTGGGGCTGGTATATATAGGTCAGAGCGTCCAACGTGAGCCTTTGGATCAAACTAACTTAAAGGACGATGTAGATGCGACCTTGGAGGCGGTGGAGAACCAACATTGCGACGAGGCTGATAGGTGGGACTCTAGGGGCCGGGCAGCCTCTAGGTGGGGCTGGCCAACCCCACCTGGCGGTGTCTCGGCTCCCGCTTCGGTGTGGAGTCCTCTTGAGTCTTATAGAACCTTCTAGTGTCTGTTTCGCGGTGGATAAGCGCGATTAACTCTGGCATCTAGGTCCACCTTGATGGTTTTCTGGATAAACCTTGCAGAAATCACAGATTCACCAAAACTCGTGGAATTTATTAGTTTAAACCCCTAGACCTTTGTTGGTGATCTCAATTGTGCCCTTATGCATGTTTTATTGACGGTTTATAATGGTTGTTAACCACCGTCAACGGTCCACCTAGGGGAGGCCAGTCCAAGCCAACACAGCTTGACACGTAGAGTGTCAGAACAGAGCAGTCGGACAATGTCCAAGGCTTCTGCGGCCCCATGACACCACCATGGTCCACAGAGCGCCGCTGCAAGACCCTCCTAGACTCCAGTGCATGTAGACCGTAGACTCATCTTCCCAAAACGGCCATGTACCCGACCTATCTCGTTATATAAGGGATAAGGTCAGACCTAGGAGAGAGAAGGAACCCAAGATAGATCATTCCATTCCATCCGCTCCTGTTTAGCACCGAGAACAGGGCAACCCATTGAGGGGCACCGAGAGCTCCTCCACCACATCCCGTCGTCTTCCTCCTCTCTGACGAGGGGAAGACTCCACTGGTGGCGATGCAACCTCAGGATCAGCACCGAGCTAACCCCCTACTAAATCTCTCTCTACACTCTTTTGTAACCCCTCGATTTTGGGTGCTTTTAAGTATTAGGATCATCAGCTGCTGGACATAGGGCATCGATTGGCCCGAACCAGGATAAACCATTGCGTCCTCTCTGTGATTCTTGTGTTCTTGAGTCCACTCGAGCCACCAGAGACCCGTACTCTGACACCGACTCGAACAACTATACTTGCCATGGTTCTAACCCCGTGACACCGACCAAGGAGCTCTCTACCTACATTATATAGTTAGGGGCTAAGATTATTAAGAGATCGTATCCTATTAAAGATATGTTTCCTATTGGCGGTGTGTAAGGCAGAATAATAAAGGAAGTGACAATGTAATGTATTCAGGGACCATCACATTTTTTTTATACTGTGGACTTTCCTTCAACGAAATTGTGGTTCATCTCAATATAGACATTTGGGACATGTCTTATTCATGTCTGTGTAATCGATGCACATCCTCTAATTTTCATTCTTTTTTTGAACAAATACTAGTTTCACTAGCTAGTCAGGACGGTATACTTCTGTTGACAGCTAAAAGTGGTCAATGTGTGTAACGAACATCATCATGACATTCCTAGTATCAAGAAGGTCAAGGAAATATATTGTGACGTCACAGCTGGTGGTCGGAAGGTAAAAAAAGGTTTTCGGCCTGCTCTGCCAAAACCGGCCTAGTCGAATTCCCAAACCGGCTCTGTTTTCCTATAGTTGGCCTAACAAGGTGGCCTCGCCTTGCACTACACCATAACCTTAAAACAACGACTGATTTGGAGTTGCCGAAAGGGATGTACAGCGATGGACAGTCAGTTGCTAAAGGTTATAGCGACGGACCCCTACAGTTGGTAATAAAGGCATGCTTGGATTTAAATATCAGGCTATAGTGACCGATCCTCCAACGATAAAGAAAAATAAAAATAGCTACCGACATTCGGTTGGGGAAACAAGAAATAGCAACCCACCATCTGTTATAAATTTTTAGCGACCGACCGTCCATCGATATTTTTGTACTTTTAGCGACCCACCTCCGACGCTATTTTTGGGTTGTGTTGTAGTGTCGATAAAACCGGCTAGGCTAGTTTTTCTATTGTTCCAAGACCGGTTAGAGTCTAACTCGGTTCTGGCTCGTGTTTTGACAAGGAAAATTTGCAAAACGCGTTTGAGATATGTTTCCTACTAGGATAAGACCGCCGCCTCTATATATATTTAAGGATCATGACTGATTGAGGAATCTAACTTCTAGTAGTCAAAAAACACATCTTTTACTCTTTTTACTCTAACTCTCTCTATATCCTTTGTTGTTCGTCATGTTTCTCGATGAGATTTGGTGGCGTTCTAGGTGGCCTTACTGACCCTAGAGCAACCTCGTTGTGTTCCTCCCCGTTGGATCTTTTCCTAGAGATGTTTAGGATTCTACTAGGCAAAGAACGGGTGTCGAATTGGCCTGACCAGCTTGCTGATCAATATTGCTGATGTACCGCGTGCTTGCTGTGATTTAGATTGTGTGTGGCCTCAGACATGCTAGCCTTTGATGGTGTGTGACCCGATTCGGCGTCAACAACTTCTTTGATAAAACCATGCACTAAAAGCTTGGCAATTTCCTATCAATGATCCTATGCTTTATGCTCAGCGAAGTGGCGCAAGCATTGCTTAACTAGCCTGCCATCCTGTCAGACCTTCAACGAGTGCTCAACAACCTCCCTTAGGTCCCTTGCGCATCGAAGAGCTTCTATACGAAGATGTTCTTGTTCTCTCCTAGAAAGGGACGAGCTCAAGTTACTATTTCTCATGGGTTACGTATGCCACAATTCCATAAGCTTATGTTTGGTTCAATGCAATAAGTTTTTTGCCTCGCGGGCTCATGACCAACATGTCAAACACATTTTCTTGCCAAAGATTTTAGCGACTAAAAGTGATTTCCATATACTACTATATATTAGTAGTAATAATGTCATCTTGTCTATAAAATATTTTCTTTCGTCCGTCATGCAATTAACTTGGTGTAAGGAAAATGAACCCCATAGGCCATTAAGGTTGATTTTGGTATCTGATGAACAGTATGACCATTTAAACTAACGATGTTTGTTAGTGTACAAGGTATAATTCAAGTGGATGTAAGGTGGACTTGGACTTAGGCAAAGTGGTGATTTGGATGATCAACACCTCAAGCAAGGCATTAGAAGATAAGTTAAAGACTCATAAAGACATGCTAAAAGTCTAAGACACAAGGTAGAAGAAGGCCGGATGAAGACACGTGAAGAAATGCTACTGATTGCACACTTTCTGTGTGCACCGAATTGGTCTGATGCCAACCAGAGAGACACACCGGACTATGCATGAGGACTATTCCTAGGCAGGCTGCAACAGAGGCACCGGATTGCTCCGGTGCAAGGAGCAAAGTGGCACCAGACCACAAGGTGTTGGTCGGAGGATAAAGGCAGTCCTACAAGACTCACCAAATGCTCAGTGACAATAGTGGAATGAGCACTAGATCGTTCTACCAGAGAGGGTTGAGCCAAAATTGGAGGGTGATACAGCGCACCGGATTGATATGGGGTCACACTTAATGCAACACTAGATCAGTGGACATCGATCGGCTTGTCAGAGCCCACTAGATCACTTCGGTGCTACCACTGGACCATTCCGATGTGTACGTATTAGAGAGCTGCAACTTTTGGCAACAACTAGTTTTAGACTTGGAACCTATATATAGCCCCTTGGCCAGCCATTTGAGGGTGTGTAGAGCTCGATGAAGTGGTATGCGTTGAGGCTCATCTCTAGTTGCTCTAGCCACCAAATTGCTTAGTGTTCACTCAGTGATTAGCGTAGATGTTTTGCAAAATGCTTAGGTTAGTTAGAACACCACTTTAGCGCTTGCTCTAGGTTTAGACCTACTATTTAGTGAGGTTTACCTCTTACCACTCGGTGCTTGCGCGTAAATTGTTGCACTGGAGGGGTCTGTAGTCTTACGAGGTCACGCCAACTGCGTTTATGGTGTGGCCGCCACCGTTATACTAGAGGGAACAATGCCCATGGTGTTTCAGTCGGAGGTTGATAGTGAACACAGTGGAGAGTGCCCCTGGAGAGGCCATACCGGAGATTCACTTACGCGTGGGAAAAACACAGGTGCTATCCATAGAGTTATCTGACCGGGATCTTGGCCATTGCGAGGGCATCCTTGCCAAGGGCTCAAACGAGGACTAGGGAAAGCAAGGAGCTTCTCATCAAAAAATATATCGGAGTCGTCGACAGGAGTCTGTATTATCTCTACTACCCTTAAGCTTCCGCATTTATATTATGTACTTAGGTTGTGTGTTTACCTTCCTAGCTCAGTTTGATAGGATTATAACATAGATTGCGTAACTCTTTTGCGATAGAGATAGCAATATACATAGCAAAATCTTAATTGCACATCTAGATAAATTATTTTATTGCATAGATTTTGATTAGATGTAAATTGAAAACTATAATTTTAAAAGTAGATTTTAAGTTATCTAATTCACCTCTCTTAGAGGTTACAGTCCTTTACTTGGTTCTGCTCACCTAAAAAAATGTGGCAAGCAAACGGTGAGCAATCACAAACGGAAAGAAATAGCCAGTGCCATAATAAAAGGGGCGAAGAAGAGCAATTAGGGGCCTGCCAAAGATTTTAGAGACTAAAAGTTACCATGTTTGGTGAAGCGTGAATACCTAATAACCCCCCTTAATAGATGGAACGCCACTGTTTTAGGTGCTAAACTAGTAACTCGCAAACACGGTAAAAAGCCTCTATAGAATTGTTGGTTCGAAATGAGTGCATGTGGAAGAAGCTCGAGAGGAAGACAGCGAAGGCTAAAATTGGCTTGCCTCAACATAGGAAGCAGATGAGCTCCTGTCCCCCGCCATATATAAGTTCTCTCCATCCCAACCTCTCGGAGAGGCACCAGCTGCAGATTGATCAAAAGAAGCTGCAAGGACAGGCGTAGCTTGCGAAAATGGCTTTGGGCAGCAATGCTATGAGGGTGATCTTCCTCCTTGCGATGGTGGTCTGTGCCGCGCATGCGGGGAAGCCAGCCCCAAAGGAGAAGGAGAAGGGGAAGGACGAGAAGTCAGGCGGTGCCGCCGCCGAGGCGCCCTCAGGCTCCGCGGGGGGCAGCGGGTCTTCAGACATATCCAAGCTCGGAGCCAAGGGCGACGGCAAGACGGACAGCACCAAAGCGCTGAATGATGCGTGGGCGGCGGCGTGCGGCAAGGAAGGGGCGCAGACGCTCATGATCCCCAAGGGCGACTACCTGGCAGGGCCCCTCAACTTCACCGGGCCGTGCAAGGGCTCCGTCACCATCCAGCTCGACGGCAACCTTCTCGGCACCACGGACCTGAGCCAGTACAAGGGCAACTGGATCGAGATCGAGCACGTCGACAACCTCGTCATCACCGGCAAAGGCACCCTCGATGGCCAGGGCAAACAAGTGTGGGACAACAACAAATGTGCCCAGAAATACGACTGCAAGATCCTGCCCAACGTGAGTACTAGCTCTAATGACCATCGTTGCTTCTGCTTCTCCACCCGGCCGGCCAATATATCCAATTAGGCGTCTTATATATTCTTTCTTCTTATTAACTAACACGACGTACGACACCGATGGTGCATGCCACACATTAATTGCAGTCGTTGGTGCTGGACTACGTGAACAACGGCACCGTCTCCGGCATCACCCTGCTGAACGCCAAGTTCTTCCACATGAATATATTCCAGTGCAAAGACATGACGATCAAGGACGTGACCGTCACCGCTCCCGGGGACAGCCCCAACACCGACGGCATCCACATTGGTGACTCCTCCAAGGTCACCATCACCGGCACCACCATCGGCGTGGGTGACGACTGCATCTCCATCGGCCCTGGCAGCACCGGGATCAACGTCACCGGCGTCACCTGCGGCCCCGGCCACGGCATCAGCGTCGGCAGCCTGGGCAGGTACAAGGACGAGAAGGACGTGACGGACATCAACGTCAAGGACTGCACGCTCAAGAAGACCAGCAACGGCGTCCGGATCAAGTCCTACGAGGACGCCGCGTGTGTGGTCACCGCCTCCAAGCTCCACTACGAGAACATAGCGATGGAGGACGTGGCCAACCCCATCATCATCGACATGAAGTACTGCCCCAACAAGATCTGCTCGGCCAAGGGCGACTCCAAGGTCACCGTCAAGGACGTCACCTTCAAGAACATCACCGGCACCTCATCCACCCCGGAGGCCGTCAGCCTGCTCTGCTCCGACAAGATCCCCTGCAGCGGCGTCACCATGGATAACATCAAGGTCGAGTACAAGGGCACCAACAACAAGACTATGGCGGTCTGCAACAACGCCAAGGGAAGCGCCACCGGTTGCCTCAAGGAACTGGCATGCCTCTGATCCATTCACATCCACTCGCACATCGTCCATGTCTTCTTCTCGATCGCTCCAACAGCCATCGTCATATCTTCACCAGCTATCTTTAATTTCGGTCTTCTATCTGCACAAACAGAAGGGTTGATCGGTGCATGAGATCATCCTTCAATACCTTTAGGGGTCATACTAGTATTACCCATGTAATCCTCCGTCCGATATGCGTGGCACCTTCCGTGGACTAGCCCATTTCCGCCCTTCAGGCAGGCATTACGGGTTGGTGCCGATGCCGGACCATGAGGAGGCCGGCTGAAAACTTTCTGTTCTTTTAAAATTTCCTACGGATTTTGTCAGGCTTCCATGCATGCATGGTTGAGAGATGTGTTAAGATCATCTCGAAGAGTCTTTCTAAGGTTTACTCGCTAATAAATCATCATTTGGAAAATTATTTGAGTACAATCGTTTTCTATATCTTGGTACCCTACAACAATTATTCTATATTACAACATGCCAGATCTGGTGACAAATCTGAATGAATTCCATCTTTATCTGGTGACAAATCTGAAATAAATAATGTTTATATTTGGAGATCCATTCAACCTAAGCCATGTTGCAACGTGCATAAGCTTGGGTTCTACTAGCCAGACCGGTTTTGCAGCTCGAAATGACCAAACCAAGGAACATAAAAAGATGGGTGACCAAGAAAGAAATTTTCACTCTTTGATATTAAGAATATATATAGATATATTAAAACCCTGACTAAACAAATATTCATGTTATACAATCACGTAGCACAAGTTATAGCATTAAGTAGCATGCATGAACCATTAATGTACATGTTATAGTTAAGTTATTATGAAAAATATTCTCTTTACAATTGATACTTACAAACTATATAAAATTAATATCCATAACATTATTTATTTAAATTGCAACCCTAGATAAATTTATACACTCTATAGTATAAATGTAATCATTCTTTTTTTTATATATAAGAAGACAGCACTACTCAACAAATGCCGATTAGTGTGGGGCCGTGGCTCTACTCGGTTAATATGATTAATTACTAATCATTGTCTAGACTCTAGTAGGCTTATGATCCGGGTAGTGAAGCCGGATTATTATTGGCTCCGGCATATCTGATAGAAATATGTGTGGATCCTTATGGGCTTAGGCTGCTTTGAGCTGTAACATTTGAACCAACGGACTTGACAAGTTATGTACACAAATACATCCGGACGCGGCTCAGGCTCATTCACTCATCCACATATCCATCCTCATCCACTCATCCACAGACCCCGCTCACGTCGCACGTCCGCTCTACGCTGAGCACACCCCCCTCGCGGAACGGACTCTACATGCCCGCGCCGCCCTCGCACACGGGACGTACTCCGACTGCGCTGCTCGTCAGCGCCGCCCTCGCCCGCGTCGCCTGCCCTCGTGGGACGCACTCTGCTCGCCCGCGCCACCCCCGCTCGAAGGGCGGACTTCGCCAGCGCCGCTCACCGGCGCGGCTCCGCCCACCCCCACCACGTGGCCCTCGTTCGGACACGTGCCTCCCGTCGTGGCCACGCTCCATCCGCCTGCCTCGGCCACTGCCGAGGTCCGTGCCGCCGACGAGCTCCACACCGGTGACCTCCGTGCACTCCGTGGCATCGAGCTCCATGCAGGCGTCGAGCTCCACAAGGACGAGCTCCATTCGTCCAAGCAGCAAGGTGACATTGCGCTGAAAGCGCATGTTGCAATCGTATGTTGCAAGGGTTTCAATTGGATGTTGCAAAAGTAGATCAGGATGTTGCATATGTTGCAATGGTTGTACACTTATGTTGCAAACGTCTATTCGTAATGTTTCATCTATTTTTTCAGACGTATGTTGTAAGTGTGTTTATCTGGATGTTGCATATGTTTCACACATATGTTGCAAGTGTTTTATCTAGATGCTGCGTATGTGTTAAGATGGTTTTCAAGTGTTTCATGTGTTTTTTGCAAGTGTTTCAGACGCATGTTTCAAACGGTTCATATGTCTTCAGACATATGTTGGAAGTATTGTATCTAAATGTTTTAAAAGTAGATCGCGTGTTGTATCTCCCTCCTCACCTTTTAGTTGTCTCGTCTTGGTGTCTCCTCCTCGTCTTCTGCTGCCTTGCATCATTATCAGACTACGGAGGGGGACGGTGGAGGGGGCGTGCTGGGGGATGGCGGCGCGGACGCGAGCGCACGCTCCCCCTTCTGTTACTCGAGCAGATAGCGCTTCGGTCCCTTCAATTTTTCTATTAGGCGGAATGATGAGATGAGATGGTCCTGTTGGTGTGCCACGACGTCAGCCCATGGTTTAGTTGGCTGAGCTGCGTCCGGACACGTTGCTGACGTCGTACGTCCGAGCACCAGTGCCTCCTCCAGTGCTCACGTGACACAACACGCTTGTAATAGTTTTCCAGCTATAAATAAGAATTTCAGCATCTCCTCGCGCCGCTCCGTTAGCCGCGGTGGAATCATTGATCGAGAATTCGAGATCCTCCTATAAGCGTGCAGACCGCAAAGGAATGCATGCATGCGCTGCATGCCTGTCATAAACTTTGGTTGCACGCAGGCACGTTGGATTATATCTACTCTACGTCTACCGAGCGTGCTGCGTGATGCACTTCTCTACGCACGCACCTGTGGCTGTGACCCGGCCTCGGGACTCGTCCCTGCAGGCTGCAGCCAAGCGCGCCGAGGCAACTAGGCAAGTAAAGCTTGCAGCCACTGCGCGAACTTCTGTGGAAAGAAGGTGCATATGCCAGGTTTGGAGATGCACGAAGTGTCAGGCATGCACCGAACTGGGATTTTGTCGCGTGTCACTCGTGAGTCGTGACCTTTTCTTCCTGCACGTAGGAGTGGAACTGAATACATGGTCCATCTCCTCCAAAGTTGTCTGTAGGAGATGTGAATCTACCTGCCAACATAAATTTTTAAGTGTCCGTGTGTATTTAGAGTCTGAAATAATAACCTGCAGAGGTTCGCTCTTGTATGCACCCACACTCACACACTTATACATGTACTTCCTCTGTTTCATAAGTGTCATTCTCACTTACTACTTACTGAGAAGTCAAATTTTTTAAATTTAACCAGATATATAAGAAAATATTAATATTTGTGAATATAGAATTAGTATCATTAGATGAATTGTTGAATGTATTTTCATAATAAACTTATTTGAAGACACAAATATTGCTAATATTTTCTACAAATCTAGTCAAACTTTTAAAAGTTTGACAATCACGCATCTTATAGTAACATTTTTTTTGGGATGGAGGGAGTAGATCATAATATTGACAGACGTCTCGCTATCGATGGGAATATTGCACGCACACTCGCAAATTGCGCGCACACTTGTAAATCATAGTACAAATGTCATACCTTTACGAGCACTTCTGATAAAATGAACCGGCAAGTCCCAAGATTGACAGACGTCTCGCTATTGATGGACATATTGCCCACCACTAAAAACTGCGAGCACACACATGTCAAGTCGAGAACTAGAACTCGAGTGAGTAAGTTCCACCATAAAAAACCTAACCAGCCAAATTACGCTTTGCATGACTGTCTTAATGATGTGTTAAACACGCTACTTGAATCATTTGATTCCTCTTAATAAATAATGGAGATGACCTTGCAATTGTACCAGAGTAAATTTCACAAATCCAATGACACCTCTTTTTTTCTAATATCAGACATAATCTTAATAACATTAGTAAATGGAGGTTTTTTTAAGTCTCTATGTTAATTTCACATGACGCATTAGAAAAGATAAAAATATTGGACCATTAATATAATTCAGTATACTATAACTATCATCAACAATAATAAACATTGGTCTATTCTATTTTCTAAAAAATCACTCTATCATTATGAAAATCTAGTCTACCCCAAATTCTATATCAAAATTAATCATCTATGCCATAAAAGTACACTAAAGTATAACGCCCTATATCTATACATGAATTATCCATGCCTATCATTATCAACATACTCTAAAGTAATCTCCTAAACCTATATCTAAATACTTACCTCTACCATTATGAAAAAATACTCTAAAATAATCCCCTAAACCTATATCTATACTTACCTATACCATTATGAAAATAGCATAAAGTAATCTTGTAGTCTTAATCTAAATTAACCGCCTACATCGTTATGAAGAAAAAATCTAATATATTCATAAATGTGCATCTACATTACCATCTCTATCATCACTAGGAATAACCTAAAGTAAGCAACCACCTAAGCCATTATGAAATATGGTCTAAATTAACCCACTAAATTACACACCCGCCATTATTAAAAGTAACCTAAAGTGTATTCTATGTTTGTTGTAGAAATATCTACATGTTTGACTATAATTTATTTTTTCCAAATTTCATATTTGCATTGACTTTATCCAGCTATTGACTTATGTGGCAATTCAAGGAGATTTTTAATTCCTCGAGGAGTATACAATATTATCTTAAACACAACATAGACAAGACATTATATAATAGAGAGTTGCTGTGAACACAGTTAGGCCTCCTTTGGAATGGAGGAATGAAAAAGTATAGGAATAGGAAAAACCTAGGAATATGATAGGAATGTAAGTGCAAAACAGAGGAATAAAAAATATAGGAATTTTGCATGTCTAGGTATTTGTATGGGCAAAGGAAAAACACAGGAATGTTAAAAGGAATTTTAGGAGCAAAAATATATTTCTTTCTTTAGGGCCCCTTTGGAATGGAGGTGAAACAAAGGAAAAAAACATAGGATTGAGATTCCATAAGAATGAATTCCTTTATCATCCTTTGGATTGTATGAAATGCTCATAGGAAATCTAAAGGAAACTTTCCTTTCCCTTCAATTCCATAGGAAAACTAGAGGAAAGAAGAATCCACTTTGAGCTCATAGGAAAAATCCTATGCACGAGGAACGAAGCACATAATGGACTAATGGTTGCTGGTGGTGCCTAATCAAGGGAGTGGAATGAAATAAGTAGGTTATGAACTTGGTTGCTTTGATTTCACATAAAAACTTAAATTGCATGCTTCTGTTTAATTGTTCATGCTTCATGAACACTCATCTAATAGTACCATCTGTAAAACAGAATGGTATGAAGATCGCACTCAAAATATGGTTTTTAACATTGGTACAACATACATTCAAACATGAATTATCAATTATCATGAATTCTCATGGTATTAAATTTTACCCTCTGGAAAAAAAAAGCACCACCACCGTTTTAGTCTAGTCTGGCTTCTCGGATAACTGCCGACGAGACCACCTATATGCATGAGAAACGGAAGTACTCGCTGCCACATCGAGAAAGAGATGATCAGCTGCCACTCTGGCCGGCTGTATGTACCAGGCCAGCGTCGCATGCATGTTGCTACACACGCTACGCAACAGGCAAAGCTTGGCCGACCCCGACTGGCGACTGTCCCGGTCGCGGCCTCGCCTCCCTGGCTCCCTCCCTCCCGATCGATCCCTACAGGAACAGGACGCTTTGCCGCAAGAGGGCAAGGGGCCTTTTTTGACTGTTGCGTGTGGCCTCCTAGTCCCACGAACCTAAAAGGCGCCAAAAGGTGCCCCGGCCACCAGGGAAGCGAGGTCAAGATGAGATGAGATCTCTTGACTGACTCACGCGGCAGCAGGCACCAGGCAGCCTTGCTCAGCAACAACCACCTCACATTCCCCTCCACTAACCCCTGTTTCCTCCCTCCTTTTATTACTTTAGCAATATCTTCCTCTCCCTCCCACTGCAGCTCCAATGCTCCATGCTTGCAAAGCAAGCCTGAACGAACACCACTTTGGGATCTGTTGTTTCTCTCCATCTCTTTCAGCGCAGACTCATAAGAACGCCACTAGTTGATGCGATGCAGTGGTTCAGCGACCGCGCACGCTTGCATGCACCTCATCGTGCCAAAGTTTTCGAGCTCAAGATCGACTTGAAGTAGATAGAAAGATGTGCATAGAGTAGAAGGTTCTTATTGTCAACTCAATCTGAATAGTTTGCCTGATGACTGGAAAGCAGGTAGGGCACCTTTTGGAAGATTTGTTAGGCTTTCTGGTCGAATTATAAGCTACAGACCAAGCAAAATTCTCCATATATATACTACTATAGGTAGACTAAAACAAATTTGAAACCTTGGATTCTCTGATCATGGCTAAAGCCCAAACCAGTTGGTTGTGTGTGGTTTGTCCAGCAAAGCCTGGGCTACTCTTCATTATTGCTGTGCACTCTGTCAGCAGTCATCCACTCAGCAGTAATCTGTGCAGTTTGTGTGGACAGTGTGAAACATGTATGGCGGCTTGCGATTTACTCCTACCAAAAAACTGTTGCTGCTTGTATGTAGGACCAACGTGCATGATACATGGCAATGGCAGGCACAAAAAGGTCTTCAAAACAACTGTTGTTACCGGCAAGGAAAACTGTTACACATGCACATACTAGCAAAAGTACAAACTACGAGGTCTGGTTCTGCTTCTGGTCCACACTACACCAGGCCACCAAGCTGCTCCAGATCCATGGATGGATCATGCATGGATGACCCGCAAGGTATAGAAAAAAAGCAGCGGACGGACGCTTCGTTGTCCTCGATCGGGAGGGGAGGACGGCCACTGGCCCCGCCGCCGCTTCATGCAAGGGACACCGGTGCCGGTGGCTCGATCACACGTACTCACACTGATGATGGATGGCTCAGCTGCCCGGCCTGGGCGTGGTAGGAGGCGCCGCCCGGATGTCCTTGAGCACCCCCACTACCTGCTGCATCGTCGGCCGCTTGTCCGGCGAGTGCGCCGTGCAGAGGTACCCCACCCTTAGGCACTCCACCATCTCCCGATCGGCCGCCTCCGCCTCCGCGCCGGCGGCGGCCTCGTCCCGCACCCTGGGGTCCACGATGTCCAGCCCTTTGCCGTCGCGGATGATGCCCCGCGCCCAGCTCACGGACGCCTCGTCCCACCCGGCCTGCCCCGTCATCAGCTCCAGCACCAGCACGCCGAACCCGTACACGTCGCCCTCGGGCGTCGCGTTGCCGTTGTGGTTGTGCCCGAAGAAGTCTGAGATCCGGGGCTCCAGGTCGTCGCACAGCAGGACGTTGGTCGGCACCAGGTGGCCGTGCACGACCGCCGACCCGCCGCCGCCGGCCCACCCCTGGTGCAGGAACGCCAGGCCCCGGGCGACCCCCAGCGCGATGCGGTGCCGGGTCGGCCAGTCGGAGATGGACCGCTTCACCTCCGCCGCCTCCCAGATGTCGCCGCTGCCCGCCGTGTCGTCCATGTCCGGCCGCCCCGCTGGCAGCTCGTGCAGCCACCGGTGCAGGTCGCCCTTCTCCATGTACTCGTAAAGTAGTAGCTTCTCCTTGCCTGCAAAGATGATTTTAATAAATGAAGTCATCATCCAGAATTCAAACCATGCAGCTTTCTTGTGTACAGTAGTAGTATTTTCGCTGCAACTTTTCATCTGTGCACCGAACCCAACTGCTCCAACTATACCCGGAATGCATGGCGGCTAAAATGGTGCTAAAAAGTTCGAGACTAGTCTACACCCATGCACACTTACTTTGCCAGTTTCTACATTGGCACTAGCAACCCATGCATAGATTATATTTTGAGGATAACAATTCACAAAAAAATAATGTTTAGCACAAAGAAATTAAACAAAATTGATTCTAGTAGAATGAATCGAATTGAGCTCACTCACCTGCAATGCAGTAGCCAAGGAGTGGAAGAATGTTCGGGTGGCGGAGGCGCGCGAGCTCCCGAAACGCGGTGGCAGCGGCCGCCGGGTTGTCGTCGTCCTCGCGGAGCCCGGCCACGGCGCCCTCCACGACGCGCACGACGACGTGCAGGTCACCGGGGAGCACGGCCCGGTACGCGGCGCCGCTGCGACCGCCGCGCTCCGCGAGCTGCGACTCGCGGCCGAAGCCGGACGTGGCCGCGGCCAGGTCGCCCAGCGTGAGCTGCATCAGCGGCCGCTCGAACAGCACCACGGGCGCTGCCGACGACGCGCCCCTGGCCGCCACGACCACCACGTCCTCCTCCTCGTCGCCCTTCTCGCTCCATTGTGCTTTCTCCTTCTTCTCCTCGTCGTCTTTGCCTCCCTTCTGCCGCCGCCTGCACCTCAGCGCGCCGCACGCCACGCACCCGACCAGGCAGAGCAGCATGGCCAGGGACACCACCCCGCATATCACTGCCACCGCCACGATGCTCAGATGCCTCCTCCTCTTGCCCCTCCTCGTCGTCGTCGTCCCAGAACCACCCTTCTTTTTACTTTTCCCAAGAGGACTAGGACCAGGAGGTGATGACGGCCGCGGCCGCCGTGGCGCTGCTGTCGAGTTGTCCGAGAACACCAGTGACGACGCGTTGCCCGCGTGTACGAACGCCGAGTGGCCGAACTTCGCGACGGCGCCCGTGTCCACCACGCCGGAGAACCTGTTGTACGAGACGTTCAAGGAACGCACCCCGCCGAGCGGCGGCAAGTCGCCGGGGAACCTCCCCTGCATCGCGTTCGAGGACAGGTCGAGCCGCTTCACCCGCGCCAGACGCCGCAGGCCCCGCGGCACCGCGCGGATCCTGTTCGCCGACACGTCGAGCGCAACGAGCCCCGAGAGCCCTTCCACCCCGTCGACGCCCGTGAACCGGTTGCCGGACACGTTGAGCGACTGGAGCCGCGGGTTGGGCTCCTCCACCCGGAGCGCGCCGCCGAGCTGGTTGCGGGAGACGTCGACCGCGCGGAGCGACGGCGCGCGCCAGAACCGGCCCGGGATGGCGCCCTGGAGCGCGTTGCCCGAGAGGTCGAGCGCGGCGAGCGCGGTCAGGTTCGCCAGCGCCGTCCACGACACCGCGCCCGTGAGGTTCCGCGACGGGAGGCGGAGCTCTCGGACCGGCTGGCATGCCGCCTTGGCTCTCGGGGCACGGAAGTTATGCACGTACCGGAACGCGGCGGCGACGATGGCCGCGTCGTCGCGTCCGGCGCAAGAGGAGGAATTGACACAGGAGGGAAGCGAGGTGGCGAAGAGGAGCAGCAGGAGGAGGTGGACGTGGAGTGGCATTGGAGATGCACGACGTGTGGAGAGCTGCACGTTAGGGAGGAGATTCGAGCTGGGGTTGCATTGAAGGAATTGAATGGACACAGGGGAAGCTGGGGGACTACGGACGGAACAGAACAGGGGTGGAAATGGAATAGTGCAGGCGTGCAGCTACACTGGGAGGAAGGAAGGATCAAGGATGAGATGGTTTAATACAAGCTGGTGAGACTAAGCCATTGTTTAGTTTCTACCCAAAATTTTACATCATGTCACATCAAATATTTGACACATGCATGAAGTATTAAATATAGACTAAAAAATAACTAATTACACAGTTTTCGACTAATTTGCGAGACGAATCTTTTAAGCCTAATTAATCCATAATTTGATAATAAGGGCTACTGTAACACATGTGCTAATGACGAATTGATTAGGCTTAATAAATTCATCTCGAGGTTTACTGACGGATTCTATAATTTTTTTATTAGTATTCGAACACCTCATACGACACATCTATATAACATTCGATGTGACACCTTAAAACTTTACCGGCACGAGAAAAGTAAACTGAGGAGTCGCTGGTTTCCCATTCTAGGGGAGTAGTCAGTCAGCGTATAGATGGTTCTGGTGTTCCTACTTGTCCCCGGGTTCCCTCTTTTCGGTTTACTAGCTTCACTAATCAAATAGGAGTATCTAAAACAGGCCAAATACTATAATAACGAGGATATACTTTATGCTGCTTGTTTTGAGAAATCAGTTCATCGTAAATAAAGCAGTACACCTCTGTTTTAAATGTTTTAAATTATAAACTGTTTTGGCTTTTCCAAGTACATACTTTTTACTATACACATGGTATACGCTACCTTAGAAGCATAGTAAAAGATATGTACCTTGAAAAACCAGAATAACTTATAATTTGAAACGGATGAAGTATATTATAAGTTGATTTTATAAATTTTGTTCCGATGACTTCATCCTTCTTGTTTATGTATTAATAAGCATGTGCATATGAGGTTTGCGTATGATGTACAGTTTGATCAACACGACAACACATTCAAATTTCAAAACCAACCTAAGTATCCATGAGTGAGAAAGCTAAAGATTATCCTGTTCCTCGAACCAAACACTAAATTTGTGTATTATTGAGTCCGGCCTCTGCCAACAATTAAAAGACCATTTGGTTGTGCAATAGAAACTTCAGGGAGTTCTTGTGGATCCATCCACCTATTCATTGACTGGCTTTATTTTCCTAGTCTTCTCCATTTGTTCTTACCTCCTTTGTAAGGGCCCTCTTGACATAGCTTAAGCTTTAGGAATTTTTGGTGCTGATCGTCCCTAGCTCTAGACATAATTGGAGCTAGAACTCTAGGAACATTAAAAGCTTCAAGTGGTGTGGCAAGTGATTATGTGAAAGCATCTTCCAATTCAACATCTTTTGTATCTAGCTTCATTTCTTTGCATCTTATTGGGGCCTCAATCAAGCCGTCTAGTTTTTATAAGTGTGAACCACATCTATGCTCTAGGCTCAAAATAGGTAAAGCTACTACTTTCCACTCTCTTAAAAGTATGGCCAAAGGAGAAACAAGGTCTTAAACTACTCTTAATGTCTTCACACTACTATTATGAATATTTAGAACTAGTTAGTCCTTGATCCTAACGTATATCAACCTTCGCACAACTATTGTCGGTGCGAAAACTGATCAACACGTAAATATTTATAGTTTTGTCGTACGCGGTGATTGGATGTGGCCTAGCACTCAAAGACACAGGGTTTATACTGGTTTAGGCAACGTGTCCTACGTCTTGTTTCAGTCGGTTGGTGACTTTATTCCTAAACCCAGGTGCTCGAAGTTTGTTGTGGGGTTACAAACGAGTGGGAATAAAATGAAGGTGTTAGAGGTCCGGTCGGACTCTGGACCGAAGGGCCAAGAGTGACAGAAGCTCCTACGTGCGCTAAGTATTAGAACGTATGCTCTGTGTAGCTTTAAAATTCTAGAGTTGTGGAGCTGTTCGAGTACTCAGAATGTCTAAAGCTTAGTAGAGACTGAGTCGGAATGATCCGTTCATATTGGGAGACTGTATCCCCTTTTATAGATGAAGAGGACGACCTTACAAGTTCAAGAGAGAGAGAGTGTGTGCGCCCTAGTCTTGTTGCCCACGCCATCGGGTACAAAACAGTTTGTCGGCGCCCACAATACTGTTGACGCCCAGATGCACGTGGCAGGCTCCATCGTGTTCTTTGGGTATGGTAAATGTCAGCGCCTACCATACTGTAGGACAAATGTCGGCGCCTACAACACTGCTTGTGTTCTGACATATCTGGAAGGCTGCAAAGTACCCTTCTGGCATGGCCTAACAGTACTGTCCTGCGGGTGTGTAGGGTATGGTCCTCAGTATTGCGGTTGACTTGAGCGCCTTACCTTATTTTCTCCGCCTGATTTCTTGAGTCCTCACCGAGCGGGTGTCCCTAGCCGGTCGTTCCCAGTTGGCTCCGACCGCGCTGGTCGGAGAAGAGCCGTAAGCAGAGGTTCGGTGTATTTTTGCTCGGAGAAGCGGGTCGGAGTCGGAAGCGAGCGTCGTCCCCTCCTTGGCCAGGCCTTCCGGTCGGAGAAGCGAGTCGGAGTCAGAAGCGAGCGTCGTCCCTTTCTTGGCCAGGCCTTCCGGTCGGATACTGGATCGCTCTTCCGGCCTGTCGTTAGGTATCTGGGCCAGCCCAGGAGTTGCACGTCTTTCGTAATGCCGTCTGCCGGGCCGAGTTTTTGCTGGGAAGCGGGCCTATTAGGGACCCCGGGTTTAAGAACCCGACAACTATTATTGAAAACCAATGTATGCCCAACTAAGCATCATTTTTTGCAAACTTCATTGCTTTACAAAACACAAATTAATTAGTCACAAATGATAACAATGGATAATCATCAAAACTAAATTATGGTCTCGATCTGCAAATAAGAGTGTATTCTAATTACCTTTTCAAAAATAAATGTTATTTCAAGTCAACCATATAGCCCAACATATAAAACACTAGCACCAACCAAAATATTCAGATATTGAATTTGCAGATTCATCCATAAAAGGAGAAGTATAATAATTTAAGGCAATGTTTTTTCCTTATTAGATATACTGGGAATAATGAATCTACAAATAAGTATGTAAATCACACTCGTATTCGGTTGCACACACATCTTATATATTCTCCTCCCCTTTCGATCTAAAGTAAGTAATGATGTTCCTCTTTACACAAACGGCTATCTTTGCCACTTATGACAAATGGCTGAATCATTCTGTGGCTTTACCTACTGATTAAATTACTGTGACGCCTTTTCTAGTCTAGCCAAGTTATGTGCAGTATAATTACCTATGCATGCTTCACTTTTTGATGCATCTGCACTTTTTTTTTTTTGCTGCTCATAAAGCCGCTTTTGTGCTGATTTGTATGGCTGATTTGTTGGGAGAGAAAAATATTGTACCATAACTAATAAGCCGGCTTATATGAGCAGCGAACAGCCCCTTAGCTGATAGCATTTGACAGTATCATGTTTAAAAACATTCTGCCGCCAAAATATAGGGTGGTCCTAAAATGATTGTTCTCTAGTGTGGACATCTTTCAGTTGCGGATCAAAACAATTACTGCAAAAGCATAACACTCAACAAATGGTGATCCTGATGAGCTGGATCTGACTGCATCTCGTGCTCCGAATAAAACCCAACCCGCAGCAGGGACAAGCGCCAATTCATCAGTTCACGGAGACGTACATTTCCCTAACAAAAACTCAAAAAAAAAAAACAGTCATACACATCTTCAGAACTGTCCCAGAGCGCCGCGCACCGCTGGTCTTGGCACCAGGCTGATGGCATGCAGCTCAGAGCTAAAAAAAAAATCCTGAAATTACTAGTACTAACTTGCGAGTAGTAGAACAATGTGCATAACAATCGATGCAAAAATTGGTACCTGAATGGAATGCCATAGGCTCTATACGCACTACAGTTGGGATTGGGACTAGCTAAATAAAATTACCTAATCTTTGAAGCTGTAATCGATTATCTGACAGTACTGTCACTACTGCCGTGCTACATGGATGATGGCGTCAGCTCTGTTGGAAATTTTACCGAGCACGTGAATTATGATGCCATTAGAGGTGACAAGGATCGCCTTTTCAGACATCTCCACTGAACCCACTCATGGTTTTTCACCTGGTGAACCGCATGCATGCTGAATTATTGTTTCTTAGCCCTGACGCTAAGCATCTATCATTAAGCCTTCTTCGACCCATATATGTCTTACTAGACCGTTCACAACGGTCGGAGAAGAGATCTTGCCTTGTTATTACGGATTCATAGCTCGTGACCAATAACAATACAATCTCAGAGAGATGCATGGAGCACCGAAGCAAGTTAGAACTGGGTTGGGCCACCAGTCACAGACCATTGCCGGCCATCATAGCTGCTTTGGGCTGCAGAAATCTGGATGCCCACCGCGCGCGGCAAATATGGGCGCCCACCGACCATCACTTTGGTAGGTAGGCGGCAGAAGCCCAAGATCCGAGCGCGGCAACAAGGGGGCAACATGGGCGATTCGGAGTAGCAGAACGGGAAGCTGCCAGCGTGCACGGGCCGAAGCCGACGCCGCGGACTACAACGATACGCGTGGAGCGTGCACAGGCTAAGCCCGCGCGGCGTACGTGTAACCGAAAGTGGCCGGGAGCAACGCGTAGCCGCTCCAAAGCTCACGGAATTCTCGCGGTGGTCGGCGCCAACAAACCCCAGTTCCATTCCCACGGCCCAATCCATCGAACGATCTGACCAAACGAGCCCACACGTCTCCACCACACGACCAGGCCACACGTTATTTTGAAAGAACTTTTCACCGGTCTCAAATGGGACGACGATTCGACGCCACCAGCCCACTAAGATGAAGTAGCCGTGCTACGGCATTGCATGGCGTGGATTCGCCGTGGATTATTGGCCGTAAAAAGAGAAATTGTCGCAAAAGCAAACCACCGTGTGCATACATGTATGTCTCTTTG